TACCAGCTTGCAACCTACTTGCCGAGCATCGTTGAATGTAATTCAATTACTTTTTTCAAAGTATTTGTACTCCACTCAAGATAGTTCGTAGTAAAAGTAAGTTAAATACTACTCTAAATACGTTTTCGAATTGATATTTACTATCTTATTTTAAATACTTTTGTTGAGTATTTTGCACAGCACTGGTTTAACCTTACGGGTTGCGTAAGTGTTCACAATTTTTTTTTTTTATTTCATTTTATTCAATTCATTTTCGGTCTCCAGTTAAGTGCGATGGTGACTTCACGCCACTGACGTCTTAAGAAATGTCTTGTTTTTAGGGTGTAAAAAACTAGGGGGAAACAAAACCTAGGGGAAACTAGGGCGAAAAAAAAAGAGGCCAAATTCGCTACTCGTTATTGCAAATAAAAGGACGCGTTATCGACCTAGGTTATATCAAAATAAAAGGAGCGCGTTAACGTTACCGACCAAAAGTGATCGCGCGTTATTTTGCGTTACATTTTGATTATGAAACAATCGAGTTTTTTTACACTGGGATAAAGGGCTTGAGTGTTGGGGATTTTCTAAATTGGGAGTGTTTGCCTGGTGAGAAGGGAGGCAAAGTCTTGAAGTCACGTGGGATGAGTCATGAGTGCAATAATTCACGACTTAACGCTTAAAAACACACAAAAAAAAATTGAAGCGTATTTTTGATTTTTGTAAAAAGGCGTAACGAGTGACGTCACTACGTTACCCGTTACTGAAAATGTCTAACGTAATTACGTTATTCGTTACTGCTTTGAAAATGTAACGAGTACATTACTACGTTACAGAAAAAAATAACGCGTAACACGTGACGCCGTTACTTGTGACGCGCTACCGCCGACACGTAGAAAAAGGCAACGCGTGCAGGAAAATAAAACTCAGCACCTTTTTTTGTTGTTATTGTTTTGTTGTTGTTTTTTCGCCACTTTTTCATACCTGCGCGCCTGTACCGCTTCACGTTTCCGTTTTAGTTAACTGAAATTAAACACCTCTTCTTTCCATGTCCTTTCAGGCTGCGACTATCGAAGATACATTCTCGTTTCTCGGTCTCCGAGATATCGGCGTCATTCGGGTTCAAGTCGGAGGTGAAGACGACATGAGGCAACAGCTATGAAACGGTGCCCACCAGAGAGGACAGTGTCGGTCTTCTAGGTCACCTTATCGAAAAAAGTTCGGATAAGCCGAGAAACACACACATAATGTGCGGCTGCATTGAGTGTACAGGTCGGCCTTATCGCCTCGCCACTCGTTCGGAACACCGTGCTTTGGACTCCGCCTTTGCGCCGAAGGAAGGGCCGGCTGTCGGAGACGCTCGCAGGCCCTTAAAAAGTGGCCCCATGCACGATGTGTGTGCCAGGACACTGTATACTCGCAGCACGTTACATTGTTGCTAGATGATGGAGCGCAACGCTAGCGTGCATTGCATACGGGCTCACACCTGGCTTGGGTTTTCGGGATGCTCTTCGCGCAATTTTTTTTTTTTTTCTTCGAAGTATTTAATATTATGAACCTATTTTATTTAGCAACTCGCTCACACCAAGCAAAATTTCGAATGTACGCACAATGTGGTTCATCGAAGTGTAAGACAAAATACCCGCCCCCCTTCCCCCCCCCCCCCCCCCCACACACACACACCGAAAAAAAAAAAAAAAAAAGATTGCTTTGAACAAAAAGTTTGCGGACAAAAATGGCCCCAATTTATTTTCTTGGAATACTTAGTGCTATCCTTGAAAAATATTTTTTTTCTTAATACTGCTTTGAACAATATAACGGCCCTTCACTATATATTTAGATTAATGAAACCTATTGTTTAACTATATTAGTTAAAAATAATGCATCATACTCCTCAACAGTCTGCAAATCCCTTTTATTTATGGCATGCGGCTGACTCCAAACATCATTATAATAGGAGAAAAGTCGGAAAGGGGACTAGTGCATGACCCCAAGAACTGTTCCCTTATGATAAAGCTGCCAGAAAAATATTTACATTCTCATTCTATATTACATAAAGCGTTGAAGCGTACTATTTTTTTTTATAAAGTATTTTGAAATAAATTTATTATTACGTGCGTAATACGCGAAAAGCCAGTAATTACGATCTGTGGTGGTTGTCGAGCGAATTATTCGTTGGAACAGATGTTTGTAGCAAAATAAATATTACTTGCGAAGCTCTGTATGAGTATGATTTGTCATGCAGTGTCACATCGCAATGTCACATCTCTATAACATTTATGAGTCTAAATGTACATACATTGGGCTCATTCGCTATGCGTCCTCTTTGGTGTGTTCCCTTGGAAAGCAACGTGGAAGAATTTTCTGAGCCTAGCAAACTTCCTGCACTTTGTTTTCCAAAGGAACACCATGCCGATTCGCTGCGTTCCTGCAAACATGATAAGCTCACTTCGCGATAAACAACGCATTCAATTACTTTCTTTTTTTTTTTTTTTTCTTAATTTGTAAGAAAATCTGTTAGTGTAGCTCACCCCTTTCAAAGTGTTATTTTATAAACGCTGGCGCACTGTATACAGAAAATTGTGATGTAGTTGACATTCCGTCCTCATATATCTCGTTTTCGAGAGAAAAAGAAAGAGAGAGAGAAAGGCTTCTTGTTGGAGAAAGCAATGTCGCAAAATTCAATTGGGTCCTTTCTGTCTAGGTTCTTGCTTGGGACCAATTTGTCCGGGACCGTATATTGTACAGATCACGTTTGGCCCCCGTAGTATATCGGCCTTAAAGGAACACTACAACGAAATTTCGGCGCTCATTTTTGGTCTATATGTGTTTAAAGGAGCAGTATCACATCGAACACACCAATATCTTGTTAAAAAAAGTCACGAAAAGGAATTTTAAAACGAATTAAACGATCAGCAAAGAGCACCTGGTGGATGTCTCTAACGCCTCGTTTCTAATGCCCGTCTAGGAACCTTGACAGCTAGTGACGGTAACTGTCTCGCCTCCGGCCATGACGAGAAAAGAGGGGAAGGAGGATCTCTCCTCTTCCCGAGAATCCCTTTTGTGTGTCCCAGAAGTCACTATTGTCCCCCTACAATATTATAGAAGATTGACCCGTCACTCAAAATTCGTACAAAAGCAGCCACTTCGGTGGCTGGAACGACTAGGCCATCCTCTCGACGCCAGCCTCGCAGTAGCTTTGCTCGTCCCGAGACGAACTACGTCACGATTGCGTTGGATGTCACATGCTCTCCGCTGGCTGTTCTTCGAGCGCTTGCCAGAGTGGGCCGTTTATAACAAAAAATACAGCCACCAGGCTCAAAATAAAAACGTGCGATTGTCATTTACGGATATTGTGGATCATATTCAACCAATTTTTGAACACAATGGGTATACTTCAAATTTCGTTGAAGCACCTCCTAAATGAAGAGGATTTTCAATGGCAAGTCACTCCTCCGAGCTCATTATCCGAAAATTCGTCAGACTCCGCGCGCCACCTAGCTGCCAAAATCCAGCTCAGATTCCTTCTCTCACAATAAATGCGAATACTCTCTGGCCATTCTTAGGGCGGAACTCCGCTGGCCCTGCTTCGGCCAGTCAGTCTGACGTCTCGGCGGTACGCGCGGGCCGTGCGTTGTCTACACACTAACACGCTGCATACAAACAAGCAAGCCTTTTGCTTACGCCAAGTGTACGCACTGGGCGTGCGCAGAAACCAGATTAGCGCGAGATGTGGCGTCTGTGCATAAGCAGTGCCGACAGCAGCGCCACCGAAGTGGCGTGACGTCGAAGAGTTGACCCCCAAGTCCGGACGCTTAGCCGACGCTACAAGCTGATGGGACCAGTCAAACAGTGTCAAAAGGGCAACTCACTGCCCCTACACTGTACACGAATCGTTCAGCGATGACAGAACAGGTGCGGAAACCTGACGAACACCATGTAGGTGCGCTTTTTGACGCTGTGGAATTGGTCCCATCAGTTCGTAGCGTCAGCTGCGTCCAAGAAAAGGTGAAACGAAGTAGGAGGTGATGTACTTGTATTCCATGTGAGAAACCATTCTCGTTTTGTTACGTCCCCCTCCTCCCTTTTACTGTAATGCCGAGATGGCGAAGTAAACACGACTTGCACCTGACGTCATCGCACCATGGTGGCGGTCATGCCTTTGTTCTCGCAAAAACATATAAAAACACTGGTGGTGTGATTAAATGTGTGCTTTAGAAGGTAAGTGCTCAGCAGCAAGGCTACCACAATGACAGCTAATGTGACGTCAATGCAAGCCATCTGTGTGTACCTGAATAAATGTCATTTGTTATTAAAATAATTCGGTTGCCAGAATAAACTAGCAAAACGAAGTACGTGGGCAACCGAATGAAAAATTGTCGCCCTCTGCCTCCAAGCTAAACACTGCTCCCGAAAAAGGGGGGCTAGTGTCAATCGTGGATGTACACCGGCTCATGGTCAACTTCTCAATCCTTTACGAGGAGCCTTTACTGTAACGAAGTTTAAGTCGAGAAGTTTAAGACGAAGTTCTCGTGGGCACCTCTACCCTAACCACTGCCAGGAAACAGACTACACGCTACGAGTTAGCAATTAGTACGACCGTATGGTGCAACAAACTTTCTAGTGAAATTTTACTGCATCACTCGATCATACTAGTCTCAATCGTGGCCAGTGGGCTGCCACCTGAAAAAGACTGCGTACAGGGTAACAATCTTTTGTCGGTTCCATGTATGCAATCCTTGGGCGGTTCAGAGTTCCAACATTACTCGCCATTGTTTTAGTTCCAAGAGATATAAATGGACACGAGTCAAACTATTGCGCACTCCGTAGGCAATCATTTTACGGGCCTGCACGAAGGTAAAAAAAACAAAACCGTAAGGACCATGGACAAGATGATAGAGCCGGCGAGCTAGGTCATTTTGTCCATAGTCCTCTCAATCTCCGCTTTTATGGTAGAACTTACAACCTCAGGCTGTAAATACTTTTTTGCGTTGCAACCTGGAGTGAAAAAAAAAAAAACGTACCCACAGAAAGCGGCCGTTCACCTGCGACTTTAACCCGGAGGTCTCGACGGCGATGCAACGGAGTTTCACAAGGCGGACTCGTAGGGGCTGACAGGCTTCGCCCGACGGCGCGTCCTCCCACGAAGGTGCAGCCGGCAACGGTGTCTTTTGTGCGCGCGCGATCGTTGGGCCGAGTCGTCGGGACGGACTGTGTGCAGCTTTCCCCGTCACACGGACAACCCTGCCACGTCTCCCGATAAGGCACGCAGCCTACGAGGTCGGTATACCTGCTCCTCCCATGCGACTCCTAAAGACTGATAAGGAACCTCGCGTCGTCCAGGCATTTGCCCGGAAGGTGTCGAGCCCGCAGCCAACGCATTCATCGATTAATTGATCGCGTATAGACAATACGGAAAACTAGAGACAAAAAGCGAGATTGATAAGATCATCATCGAAAAGAAGTAACCAAATAAGGACCCATTCACAGACGCATAATCCCGTGGTGACAGTCTTCTGTCAGATGTTTCATTTACAAGTTGTTTTTTTTTTCGTCCGTATCGCCACGTTTATCACTGGCAGCCATTTCGCAGAAGTGTTAAGTGACGTTTAATCAATAAACGTTTGCGACGTTACATCGACGTAAGAGATTGCGAGGTTGTTCGGAATGTGATGAGAATTGAAAGCAAAGACAACATGAGCACCTCCTTTCGTCTTTGATTTTAATTCTTGTCACATTCCGAACAACCTCATATTTTGTTGTGAATCTCTGTGAATCCTTTTATCTGCGAGCAAGGCGATTACCCGTTTTCATTTATGTCATCTTACTGAGAAATTGGCCAGTCCCCATTAGCAATTCTCGCTTATTTCACTTGAATTTCATGTGGTTAATTTCTTGAAACCAAAATACTTCAGGCCATTCAGAAACTATGGCTTTAAGTTTCGTGATTTCTTGAAAATATTTACTTTGGGGATAAATTTCCCTTTCTGGTTAGAAAACAAGAAAGAGTCACCACAGCTAACCGGTTAATTATGTTGAAAAATAAATATATATTTATTATTCAAAGCTTTTATTTTTTCATGAACTGAGGTGCTGAAAGATGCGGCTTTCTCTTTGACCTACAGGGCTTTTTTTTTTTTTTTTTAGTATATGTGTTTGCAGTGAACTATGCATGTTGTGTTCAAAGGTGACTCCTCTACTAATAGAGTTATTTTCGCTTCAAATCTGTTTTTCGAGATCAGGCACATAACGATCTGAACTCCCGTAGTTTTTACTAGTTCCATAAAGTTCGAAAATTCCTGGGATACAGCAAGAGGCAATGTGTAGAGTTTCAAGTGAACGCGATTCATTTGCATAAAAAAGCGGCATAATGCATTTATGTATATCCCTTTACACAAATGATTATATAATAAAACATTTAAGTAATTTTGCAACTGTTATGGCTGTTCTTTTGCAATAAATCTAAACAGAAATAGGGCAAGGGCGAATTTTTAGTAAGCAAATGGAGCCAGATAAAACTGCAGCAAACGTATCGCGAGTGGGCCTTGTTTCTAAGACTTATGCGCGTCTATTATTGTCTTCTCCTCAAATGAGAATTTCTTTTGAGCATCTAGCACATTGAAGGCCGCGGTACACTGCCATTATTCCGAAATATAGATTCATGGCACCTCGATGGTTATGATGCGCTCGTCATACTGCCGCGCGCTGTGCCGGGAAATCAACGCTCGGTCACGGAGCTCTAGAACGTTCTAGAGCTCCGTGACCGAGCGTTGATTTCCCGGCACAGCGCGCGGCATTAGCCTGTTCTTGCTCCTCCCCCCACTGGAAGTTCACGTCGTCCTTCGTCAGATGTGTGAGCGGTGCAGAAGTCTTGGCGAAATCGCGAACGAAACGCCTGTAGTATGCACACAGCCCAAGAAATCTTCGCACGGCCTTCTTGTCTGATGGCTTCGGAAATTCGGCGACAGCGGATGTCTTTGCAGGGTCAGGACTTACACCTTGAGCACTCACGACATGGCCCAGGAATTTGAGCTCGCCATAAGCGAACCGACATTTTGACGGCTTCAGTGTCAGTCCGGCATTCTGGATAGCCTGCAGCACGGCTCGCAGGCGTCTCAGGTGCTCGTCGAAGTCGCTGGCGAATACCACGACGTCGTCGAGATAGACGAGACAACTTTGCCACTTCAAGCCGGAAAGAACGGTGTCCATTACGCGCTGGAACGTCGTCGGTGCTGTGCATAGTCCGAACGGCATAACTTTAAATTCGTACAGCCCGTCCGGCGTGACGAAGGCAGTCTTTTCACGATCTCGTTCGTCCACCTCGATCTGCCAGTACCCACTCTTCAGGTCCATCGACAAAAAGTATCGGGCGTGGCGCAGCCGGTCCAGGGTGTCGTCGATGCGTGGCAGCGGGTAGACGTCCTTTTTTGTTACGGCGTTCAGTCGGCGATAGTCCACGCAGAACCGAAGGATCCCGTCTTTCTTTTTCACCAGGACTACCGGTGAAGCCCACGGACTCCTTGAGGGCTGGACAATGTCGTCATCGAGCATTTCTTGGACCTGCTTCTGGATGACTTCTCTCTCTTTGACAGAGACACGGTACGGCGACCGATGAACAGGAAGCGCGTTGTCTTCAGTGACAATTCGGTGTTTCGCAACGGTCGTTTGGCGCACCTTTGACGACGTGGAGAAGCACTCATCGAACTCGGCGAGTAGGTCACTGAGTTGTCGTCGTTGTGGGGTAGGCAGGGTTGGATCGATGTCAAACTGCGAAGGCGGCGTTGTCTTGGGTGGCCACGAAGAGAGGTCTTCTGATATTCCGGCGATTGCGGCTGAGTCCGGGAGTTCCTCGGCGTGACCCACGGCGGTGCCTCTCGTAAGGTGCTGGGCCTCCTGTCGGAAGTTCGTTACGAGTGCGACAGTGTGTCCGTCTTGGAGCTCCATGACGCCTCTTGCGATGCCGATCCCTCTTCCTAGAAGCAACTGGAGGCTTCCTTCGAGCAAAACGTCGCCGCAGAAAGTCTCATCGACCCCGACGGGTACGAAAACACTTGACCGCGGTGGCAGGTTCACATGGTTTGCGAGGACTCGTACCGCGGATGACGTCGCTTGCTGAGGCTGCAGCCAGTTCTGTTACACGCGATGCGACAATTACTTACGGACCCGAAGCAGACGATGATGACAAAAATCGAACAGACACGCGCACCGACGTTTCCAAAATTCTTACCACAAAAAAAAAGGTGTATGTATGTTTATACCGCCTAGAACTGAGTCTGCCTCAACGGGCGACTTGTCTCCCAGTTGTATATAATAAAATTAGCCAGTGCAGCACGACCGTTAGCCTGGGGTCTTAACGTGCACCACGCAGTAGTGATACACGACTGGCACACAGGTACGATGCTCATCCAGATCGAAACGGGCAGGGCTGGGGAATGAACCCAGGATCCCTGGGTTCTGCAGCGCGAGCTTTCGCTCCGAGCTGCTGTGCGCTAGCCTAAAGTCACAGGATCCTGGGAAATTAGCGCTATTGCCTTCCCTGCCTGCTTGCCGAACACAAACAAACACTAACATACAGATGACCGAAACCTCGCAAGGCGATTGGATAATTGGTCTTGGTTGCTATTACAATCTCCATTTCGGCCCCTTCACTTCTTCATTGCTTCGATAGAGTCGTTCTAATCCAGTCGCACCAGGATCACCATGGAGCATCATCGTACTGGAAGCGTTCCTCGCTAATATAAGCGTCTTTGGCACTGTGTAAGCAATCCACTTATCAATCATGCCCATCTCCACGGATCTCTTACAATTATATTGTTTTTCTTGCGTGTTTCAAAAAAGCAAAATTATTTTTCAATGCCTCCAAGCACCGTCCGTCACCGCATGCGGTGGTGGTACGAAGATGTCTCTATGAAGAAACGTCTCTATGAAGCGAATCGAGATCGGCTCATCAAGAATGGAGAGGTCAAGGAGAAATTGCTCATTTCATGAGCCGAAATGGCTACCATCCGGGAGCTTGGCGCTACTTTCCCACGATCCACTTATACTTTACGCAAGCCCACTCGGCCACCTCTACCATAATTTGAGGAACACAGTCGCAGTGAATAAATGATAACGTCAAAGGACACCCGAGGATCACCTGATTTTCTACAAGCTTGTGAAGAAGCAAGCCGTAGTTTCTGTGATGAGGGTTGTCACATTCAAAAAGGATCTCCCTCTGAGAAAATATCGTAAGGGTGAGACGTCGTCCTATCATTTTCTGTCCCTTGTACGTTTCAGTGTTTCTTCTCTACCATAGTCTCAGGTTAGAGTGAACTAGAAAAGACTGAGTGGGGCTGAGGCACCCTAAGTGGGGCGAGCTACACGCTCCGCTCATGCTTTCAGTTGAACCTCAAAATGTGGAAAGCGATCAGGGGGAACCAAGCCACTTAAAGCCCCTTCATGTTTCAAAAGTATCGCAAGGTGCGTCGATGCACGAGGCACGTCCAACGTGCAGCCCTTGGGAACATCATGGCGGCACAGCGCAGCACTGAGCTAATTTCAGACGCCGTGTTCTTCCCAGAAGTGGTACGCTGCACGTGTCTCGAGCATTTCCACAACAATGAATGGCGCCACTTTTCCCAGGATAGAGGGGCTTTAAAGCCACTTTGATCGCAGCGCCACCTTCGCTGCGATCGAAGCGAACGACGATAAGGTCAAGGTCATATGGGTAATCACCTTAGGGGCTATATTGTATTTTTTTATGATTTTGACGTCACAGGTAGCGTCAAAACACCACGCCACGACGTCATCGTCGACTACGCCGTTACGCGACGCCAAGATGCTGTTGTAAGGCCGTCGTGACATCGCGTCGGGTCGAGGACGACGCCGTTACGCGGCATCAAGTCGCCGTTGTAACGCGGTCGGGACTGGGGACATCGTGTCGCGTTGAGGACGACGCCGTTATGCGACACCAAGTCGCAACACGGTCATGACGTCGTGCCGCGTCGAGGAAGACATGGACGTGATCGTCGATGCCGAAGTTGACATCGACGCCACACATAACGTCAAACATCGCCATGACGTCACGTTAACGTCGTCCTGACGTCGTCGTCAATGTCAACGTCACAACGACGAAGCCTTGACGGCGTGTAACGTCATCGCCTTCGCCAACGTCAACGTCGACGCGCCTTCAGGACGAAGTCTTGACGTCGTGTAACGTCGCCGTCGTCAACGATGACGTCGACAAGTTGTTGGGACGTCGTCATGACGTCGAGTTGCGTCATGTCGACGACGACGTTGACGACCTGACACCAAGCGTCTTTATGACGTCGCATTGACAAGGACGCCGTCATCTTGACGTCGTCAACATCAACGTTGACATCCACGTCTTTCTAATGACGACGTCATTAGAACGCAGTTTTGATGTCGTGTAACGCGCGTTGTCAACGTCGATGGCGACGTTGACGTCAAGGCGCAGTCGTGATGTCGCATGGCGTTGTGACGACAAGTCAGGTCGCGGTGACGTTATGTATTGACGTGACGCCTGACGTCTAGGTTGTATAGAAATACAGCATGGCGTTCTAATGTTTCTATGACCTTGACCAGTGTGCCGGTCGAGCTTGACGTTGGAACGCAACGCGTTTTTCATAAAAAAACGGCTAATCCAAACCACTTCGCTCGTAGCGCCCTCTCGGGCGCCACGAGCGAGGTGGCTTTATAGCCCCTCTATCCTGGGCTTTAGGTGGCTTGAATTAGCCGGGTTTTTTTTTGGTTTTTTTTTATTTTTTCACATTCGGAGGTGCAGAAAGAGAACTCCGGTGGGCTCACCGTCCTTTCTAGTACACTCTACTCGGGTTAATTCAACATGGTTTATCCCTCTGGATGTCAGCATAGGAGGCCACCTATATATTACGACTCAGCCAAGGCTATCAGCCCTTAAAGGAGCGATGCAACAATTTTTGTACTTTGCGCAAATACCGCTTAAAACGGATCCCTAACGTTAATGACCTATGAAACACGCGTTCGTTTTTCACCCCACGCAATAGAAGTCCCAGAAAAAAAATTAAAGAAAAACGAGCAGCGTTCACCCCCTCAACTCACAGCCAGAACAAGCGGCCACGTGATCTGGAGCCGATTATATGCCCCCAGTGTTGATCATAGCCACGCGCTGGGGTTGGCAAAGCGCAGGACACGCGCTGAGTTCCAGACATTGTTATGGCTCGGCTGTTGTCGTCGTTGCAGCGATTGAACACGGGTCACTACCCGAATGCTTCTCGAGCTAGCAATTATCACGAGCCCAAGTCAGGTGCCCAAGCAATGCTCGGGTCCAATCTATGAACCGCATTCAAATATCGTGATTGGGGTGTACTGTGATCCCCACGTTACGTCATCAAATTTTGCAAAGGAGAGATTGAATGAAAATGATCGCTTTTGGCCTTGAAATTACACCGCAACAAAGGAGTTTCTTGGCCAGTGGCGTTGCGTGTGAGTATCCTTGAGTCCCAGGTGTGCCAGTAAGCTCGTGTCAAGTAAAAAACATTCCAATTGAATATCGTTGCACCGCTCCTTTAAGAGTATATAGGAGTCAACATAACCCTCTTGGGCTATGTTGACTCTTTCATAGTGTGTGCTGGATGCTTCTGTGAACTTTTTCGAACTGTCACAACCACCAACAACATATTTTGCCAAGAATTGACCCCCCGAAGGAGCCAAAAGTTCCCTCGATAGATTACGGCAGCGGAGACGTAATTAAACTGGCTGGCGAAGACTAGTCACGTTGGCTAACGCATAGCCGCCATTTTACACCAAAAGTCACGCATTGAGTGTGCCATCGTGTCACGCGCTGTCAGCGCAACAAAGGTTGTCTTCACCCTGATACAGACATGTAGGCACTCTCACCCTTTATTGCACTGAGTGAACCAGCGCGTGACATCAGCGAAGGAGGGATCGGTGGCCGAGTGATCTAGCGCAACGTGTCTAAGCTCCGTTTCACCTTATTTTGTACCGCAGCGAAGGCTAGAAGCGCGTGCTCATAGCGTTGGCAGCTGCCCTTAGTGCACGAGAGCTTGTGCCGCCGAGACGTGCCCTAGAGCAAGGAACTCGCGCTTGAAGCCTTTCCCGCGGTACATCATAAGGTGAAATAGAGTATAGCACACACCAGCTCGGAGCACGTGGAGCGAAAACTCGCGCTGCAGAACCCAGGATTCTGGTTCAATCCCCGCCCCTGCCCGTTTCAATCTGGATGAGCATGGTACCGGCGTGCGGTCGTGTATCACTACTGCGTGGTGTCCAGGTTAGCGGTTGTACCGCGCTGGCTAAATTGCTGATCTACAGCTGAGACACCAGACGCCCACTGAGGCAGACTAACTTCCGGCTGTATAAACATACACACAACAATTTGCTTTTTGCTTTGCCTCCAGCGAAGGCTACGTGTTCAAACATAACCAAAATTTGCACTCTTAAAAAAAAAAAAAAAAGACGAAAAAATTGGCCGAGATGTCACCACTTGAGCAAAAGCGCCTTTGTACAAGGGCATTACCGGTTACATGCCACGCGCGCTACGTTGATTGCTCGATTGGAACGACGCGTTCCGAGAGACAGAAAATAGAATGAAGATTAGTTTGACCGCATTCCATGAACAAAAAAGAAAACCTGCATCACGGACGAAAACGGCACCAACGAACACTCCCATGGTCTGGACTCTGGACCCACGCGTCATCCGTGGAAGAACTCGCAAGCGAACTTGGGAGCACGAAAATAAACGTTTATTTTCAGTACAAAGTAAGAAAATTTCACACGAGAAAAAACATGAAACCGCGAACGTTCATCCCATTGCCTTCCGTACCACCAACCGCCACAAAGAACATCGACGTTTCGGTCCAATACATCTTTAGGAATAGCGTGTGCCGAAGCCTAAAACATGTCGCGGTTCTCAGAACCACGTTCTCTCCGAGTCGGGGTACTTCGACTGAACTAGCCACTGCGGCGGAAACGGTACAGCCCTACTTCAAATTCCACGCACAAAAAAACAAGACAAACTTGGAATGCAAGACGGACCGAACGGAACATCTTACTGGAACCGAGGTTCAATCTTTCTGTCCACAGTCGCGAGATATGTGGCCCTGCTTGCCGCAGACGTAGCACGTCTTGCCGTCATCGGGGCACTCTCTGGCGATATGGCCGGTTTTTCCACAGTTGTAGCAGGACATGGGACCCGAAGAGAAGGAGCGGGAATCGCCCATCCGCGTCGAGCCGCCTCGCATGCCACCAGGACCGCCAGGACTGCCACCCCCTCCGCGACCACCACGAGAGCCGTACCCGCCGGAACGGTAGGAGCTGCCGAACGAGCCACCGCCCCCGTAGCCGCCCCCGCCGTAGCCGGCTCCGCCACCGCCGTAGCTGCCGCCGCCGCCGCCGCCGCCATAGCCGCCGCCACCACCACCGTATGCGCCTCCGCCTCCGTAGCCGCCGTCCCTGCTCCGGTTCCCGTAGCTGCTGCTGCGTTGGTCGCCTTCTGGGCACTCGCGGGCGAAATGGCCCTGCTTGTGGCACGCGTAGCACTCCTGACCGCTCATGTCCAGCTGTCTTGGCGACGAGAGGCGAGAAGAACTTGAGATTCGAACGGAGCGGGACCCGAAGTAACACGTCGGTCGGGTTCCTTGCAGCGAATGGAACGCGGAAACGCCAGCAGCACAGGGTTTGCTGCCTAGCACGTGATCCACGCCTCGCGCGTTCGAATGAATCATCCGACGCCCAATCTGGACGTGGCCCATTTACGTGCTTCGAGGGATATCGCTCGGAGACGGTCCGCAATATCAGGACGATAGTAAGAGAGTAATGCCAACTGAATTGGTGCAATCGTATAGTTTGTTCATGCTATTTCATCATGTATATGCGATATGATAGAAATCATCGGTTGAATGCCTTTTTATCTTTATCAAAACTTACGAAGGACGTTCAACTTTTTTTTTCTTTTTAGTGCGTGATTGAAGATAATGCAGTGAAAGATGACGGTGTAAACAGTAACGACCCCCTTTTGGTGAAAGAACGAAGCTATCATACATGACTTGCATTAGCGCCTTTGGCGAGCGAAATCTAATATTTCCCCCTCCCCCCCCCCCCCCCCCTGATATGTTTCGGTTGCGCGTCACTGCGCTTTTTCACGTTACTCGCAGTCACTATACTCTGTTTCACCTTGTGTTGTACCGCAGGAAAGGCTACAAGCGCGAGCTCCTTGCTCTAGGGCACATCTCGGCGGCACAAGCTCTCGTGTACCAAGTGCAGATGCCAACGCTATGAGCTCGCGCTTCTAGCCTTCGCTGCGGTACAACATAAGGTAAAACGGAGTATAGTTAACAGAATTTGATTGGTGGACAAACAATAAGGAAATAAAAGTAACAAGAACATGAAAACACAAGAAAAACACCCATCGTTTTGGGAGCATAGCGCGAGCTGCATTTTCTTTGGTTTATTTAAGCTTGTTTTGTTCTTTCAGACGCCCTGTTACCGCGCATGAACAGATGCTGCCTTGTAAACGGCCCTTGGCTCGTAAGGGGGAATCGGTGGCCGAGTGGGGGCCTATACTTTGCTTCAGCTTAGGTCCAGACACAGCCGATGCTACGAGCGCCAGCATGTGGCCCCTAACAGTGCCCGCGCTGCACGAGCGCGCGTACTTGTCAGGGACGCTGAAAGCCCGCAGCTCGCGCTTGTAGCATCTGCTGCGGCTGGACTTGAGCTGAAACTAAAGCCACTAAATAAGCCACGCTTCAGAGTAACAACCATCTTGTGGCTTTAACTCATGGTGGTCAGTTATCTGAAGCTTTATCTGAGATCGCAGGAAACGCTTTTCCGTCCTCCAGACATTTCAAAACAGTTCGCGACAGTGCAAAACGATATCAAATAAGCTCGCTAACACAGCATCTAAAGCTGAGGGAAGTCGCATATTTTGAATTGTGGCGGTCGACAGTTGCATCTGCTCTGCACTAAGCACCAAGATTGGTGCTTAGTGCAGAGCACCACCATAACATATACGGGAAACAGACTGCCGATTCTCTAAGTCTTAGCGTAGCTCATGAAGTGGCTCTAGCTGAATCGGAGCAGGTGGAGCGAAAGCTTGCTCTGCAGAGGGTTCTGAGTTCAATACACACCCCTGCCCGTTTCGATCTTGATGAGCATCGTATCGGCGTGTGGTCGTGTATCACTACTAAAGTGTACTAGAAAGGACGAGTGGGGCCACCGGAGTGCTATTTTCGCACCTCTCCATGTGGAAAAAATCGGCTAAGTCCAACCACTTCGCTCGTAGCGCCCGACAGGGCGCTACGAGCGAAGTGTATGTATGTATATGTATGTATTGCTCGCGGCAAATGACTCCGTAAGTGTGACGTCATGGGTCCAAACAAACCGTTGCTAGGGTCGTTGTTATGGACAAACACATGTGGCTGGGTTTCGCTATGAAAACCCGACCGTTCAAAAATCAGAAGTGGGATTTAAACGTCTAAAAATTACAAATATAGAAAGCTTGAATTCTATTTATGTTTCGACAAATCTGTGCCGGTAATCGCTTGTTTCTGAAATATTTACGACTGCAACTTCCGGTCCTCAAGATGCCTGCAGCAGACGACGAATGCAAGTAGCATGCCGCCTGACACACGCCCGCCGGCCAAGCCGGCGCCGGCGTCTCAATCATGTGAATAAAGACGATATTCTGATATTGCATTTGTTTCAACTATAATGAGTTTCAGACACTTATAAGAATTCATGGTGGGGTACGATGCAAAATATGGTTTATCGAAAGTCCGGGCGTCGATCGAGATAATCGTCTGCTAAAAGATCGCATCGCACCTGTGGAAAAAGCACCTCAGGCGATCGGTTGAGATCCCGAATTTTGTGTGCGGACTCGCGCTATGGGAGGGTGCTCCGTACTTGGTTGTAACTAGTGCCACTAAATAAGCTACGCTTCAGAGTAACGACACTTGGCCATATTGTGGCTTAAAATCATGGTTGCCAGTTATCTGAAGCTTTATCTGAAATCACAGGAAATGCTTTTCCGCCCTCCACAAATGTTTAAACCGTTCGCGACAGAGCAAAGCAATATTACATGACCTTCCTAACACCGCATCTAATGCTGAGGAAGTCGCACTTCTGAATCATGACGATCGGCCGTTGCGTCTGTTCTGCATACGAGCCAAAATGGCGGCGCCCACAACAACGTCGGGGAACAGAGTGCCGATACTCTAAGCGCAGCTTATTTAGTGGCTCTAGTTGTAACCATCGCGTGAAGAAAGATTCTTGCAGGTTCTTGAGATTTCCGCCAAGACCCCAAAGCGCGAAAGAACTGGATAAAAAACATAAGGTGAGTTTATTACAGATTTTACTCGCATCGCGGGTTCGATGAAGATCTTCACCAAAAGAGCACATCCACGGAATTTCATGTATACCAAGGGGAAAAAAAGCACAATACTCCGAAATCGCGATAGATATGCAATTCTTTAATAACCTGACAACCTCAATGATAATAAACGACTTACCTTGACGGCGTACGCTTTGTTTCTCATGCTGGCCTGCACTACGCCGGTAATGCACTTCAGGTCGTCGTCGTAACTGATCTGCATGACGTGGTTTGATTTTACGGCATTTTCACCCCTCTAAACTAAGCTAAATTCTTCACAAAAAAAAAAAAAAAAAAAAACGTACATAGCGGAGGCTTCTACGGCCATGGCGATGCACTTGTTTTTGTCGCTCGTTTACCGACGCAATTCAATGAAGACGCCCGCTGCAACAGAGGCCAGCAAATCTATCGTGTCGTCTGCTACCAAAGCAAAGCGGAGTGTAATACTTCAGAAATGGCTTTCATTGTTGCCATACGACACTGAGACGACAAGAACGTCTTCATAATTTATAGATATCAAGAAGTTAGGTTGCTTACAAAAAAATAATTTACTTACTTCTAGGCAAAAATCTAGCCTCATGTGGAGTCTCCATGCAACGTCCCTGGCAACGGTTTGTTTGGACCCAGACGCCATGTTGTGACGTAGTCACTTAAGGGGTCAATTGCTTTTTTTAACGAGCGTCTATAAAATAGACATGCCAATTAAAGAAGAGAAGAAAAAGAGAAAGATAATGAAAATAAAAGGAACTCGAAAGTCGGAGAAATGGTTCGTAGTCCCTCTGAAGCAACGTTACTAAAACACTCAGTTGGGAAACTCCCATAGAGACAGCTTTGAAAAAATGGCCCCAATCTGACTCCGAGCACCGAGCTAATGACGAACACAAAGCCACCATTTCTCCCGCAGCGGCCACTCGAAGAACTGCACGTGACTTGTATTTTGGCTTTGAGAACAGATACAGCGGTCGAAGTTACAGAGGTGCCACCCCTGTCTCCCCGGCAGACGCGCCGTGTTCAACTACTGAAGTTAAAATGCACCTGGGGCGGGACGCGCTACCTGAAAGGCCCGCTGAGGCATGGTTGTATGAAAACAATACTAATTGTTCCGCAAAACCCTGCGAACTAAAGATGATAAAAACATCACGCGTCCATCATTTGGTACTAAACTCCAATAAATTTCATACAAAAAGAGTCTTTTCCGTTTGTTTTTACGCAAAAACAGGCTTTCAAAAAGCTCGAGGTGACCACAGTACAGACAAACGAAAAAGAGTGGCGCTGTTGTCGCATTTAGCTCGGTCTCGGTGGACGCCAGAGGCCCAGGTTTCGACGGCGAGTTTCCCAACTGAGTGTTTTAGTAACGTTGCTCTGAAGTGTCACAAGTGGGCTTTCCACCATGCCCCGAGCATCCCCTTTGAGCACATCACGTGTTTGTTCTCCTCCGTAAAACCGAGGGCCTGCTCAATGCGGGTGCCGACGTCTGTCGCAGGTACGATTGCCGGACACTCAAGGAGCAAGTGTCGGATAGTTTCTTCCACCTCACCGCATGCACTGCACAGTATAATTCTAGGCGAGACAGTTGTCGTCATTACCTGTCAAGGTTCCCAGACGGGCATTACAAACGAGGCTTTAGCGACATTCACCAGGTGCTCTTTGCTATTCGTTTAATTTGTTTTAAAATTCCTCTTCGTGTTTTTTTTTTTTTTGTTGTTTTTTTTTTCCGATATATTGGTGTGCCCGATGTGATACTTCTCCTTTGAACACGTATAAAACACGTACAGACCAAAAAACAAGCGCCGAAATTTCGTTGTAGTATCCCTTTAAAGCGGTACTGAACAGAAATTAGGATTTCGCAAAATAAGGCCGCAGTGGCGTTGAACGGGACGCTACGAATTCCAAAACATCATTCATACATCGATATCTCAAACGGTTGGCCGTACTTTTGGAGGGTTTTTGACGTCATTGTCCTCCGGGATAATTTGAGAATGAGGGGAAGAGACCTCGTTTCTCTCCTCCTCGCTTTGGTTCACCGGCTCGACTCGAAGGGGACGTAGCGAGGAGGTGAGGGAAAGGGAATCGTGACGTGACTTATCTCGTCGGCCTCGTCGGCTGTGTGCAATCGCGCGCTTCTTTTCCAGAAATACGGCGATCCGTTTGAGATATCGCTGTATGAGTGATGCTTTTGGGTTTTGCAGCTTCCCGCCTATCCGTGCAGCCTTGCTTTGTGAGCTTGAAATTTCGGTTCAGTATCCCTTTAAAGGCACCGCGGTGGAAGTTCGACAACGCTGTTTGGGTAGGTTTTACCCAGACCTCACTTTTAGCGTGCACATAGCTCTATCAGATCTCAATCGACGAGGTAAAAATAACATCCACGCGCCCGCCCGAAACCTTGGTGGAATCAGGATTGCCGCGAGGCAAAGACGAACCAAAACCGAGCGTGGGGAAGGTTT